TGGCCTTGGTTGGAATAGACTCGTCAATGGTACGGGAGCTTTTCAAAATCCTTGATACCAACGAGTCTGGTCGTGTGGCTTGTGAAGAGTTCATCGGTGGTCTGCTGAGGTTGAGAGTAATACCAGTAACCAGGTTAGTAATGGTGGTGGTAGATAGACACTGTTGGTGCCTTAGGGACAGGCTAAGGCAAGGGATATCCTCACTCTGAGGGTGTCACTGTTGAGTCTATTGGAGCGGCTGGAGGCTATTGAGGATGGGGCGAGACGAGTGAATCTTGCATTGAGAGGAGTAAGATGCCGACATCCTCACCCATGAGGGACCAAGGTTCATCGCGATGTTGCTCAGATCTATGATGATGTGGATCAATGGAATGAACTGTTCTTGGGTAACCGATCGCGATGCCAGGAAGTGTGGGATGCTTCCGCATGGAATGCTAAGGTTTCTTCTGTGAAACGACAGATCCTCAGCACTCTACACAACGTGAGTGAAGGACAAGAGGGGTATCAGTGGAGCTGTTGATGCAGAGAATTCAGAGGGATCGAGAGGCGGTCTTGGGACGTGCCCGGGTGGGATCGACACGGCATGCTCAGAATAGTCAGGATGGTAATTAATGTGAGAAAAAGGGACTCTGCGAGTATCGAACCTGCCCCTTTTTCTGTAGGGGTATCGAACGAAATAGGATGGGTACGGCCCACAAAAGAGAAGCAATGAACAGCGTTAGTTATACTTTTTATGGCTATGAATATATGCCATACCTTCTGGCCACACAATACTAGTTGGTGTGCATGTTCGATCCATGCGTCCCTATTGCCTGTCTCACGATCCCCTCTGTGTCTTCATTTCAGTTGGCGCCATCATTATGAGGGATTGTCCCGTTCCATTAGCTCGATTCTCTCCCCAAAACTTTTCTTCACCGTTGGGCACTACCTATTGGAAACACAATTCGCACGACATTACTCTACATAACTCTACTCAACTCGAATGTGTTGCCATCTCAAGCCTCGGTAGTTGGGGAATTGCCCGATTGACTAATATCGGACCAGTAGTACACTGATCACACGAGTCTACGCTGAGCATCTGGTTGGGATCATGGAACCATCGAATCACTCGCGAGTTCCCAAGATCGCTCGCCGAATCGAATCACTCGTTCCTTTTACTCTGACCTCTTGCGAGATCATTTACCCCACAATCGAGCACTCTGAGGATGCCAGAGCTCCATCGGACTCGAGAATAGTGGACAATCGACCCTTGAGAGGTTGGGATGGTCGTTGGTGTCGTCCGTATGGCCACAGACATTCTCCGGAAACCATGTAAGAACACGACGATGCAGTTATGTTGTAAATTGTAGAAATGATGATACGGTTGTGAATCGAATCCTACATGTAAATCAAAGCATATCATGACTATACTCGAAAAGAAGAGGCGTGACGAAGGAAGCATCTAGCTGTAGGGGTGCAGTGGTACACAATAGCTTGAAGATACCTTCGGAGACTTCGTTAGGAATATAGAAGTTCTCACCAATAGTAGAGCAATGCTGAGGAGAGAGGATCAGTACCATAGGCGGCGGCCCTAGGAGAGACGGGCATTGAGACGAATAGAGTGCTCACCGCCTGCTTGAGAGATCCTCCATCGTCATCAAGGAGATCGTTAGCCTCTAACCATGAGACACTCCTCTCGCTGTGTATGCCGAAGACCAAACAGTGGTTCCACATCCCTCCTCCAGAATCCATCTTCTCGATGGAAGGAAGATTAGTGCGAACATGACGCACGCGCAAGGTCCTAATGAAGAGCAAGCATGCCGCTAGGGCAGAGCCAAGAAGCCTTACCTCCCATCGGCATCCACCAGCGCACCGTTCATCATGGCCTGGACTGCGTCCGTGGTGAGATATCTGCGAGGGGGGAAGAGATGAACAACCACCGGAAGATGGCTTACGGCCAATTCTCCCAGTCCCCTGTGGACGGTGTCGAAGGATCTCTCATCGAGATGATGATGGAAGCTGAGGAGTCTCCGATGTCGGACGGTAGTTGCAGGTTACGGACGGCGTCTTCCAGAGATCTTCTGGTAACGACGGCATCTTCTGGGCAGCCTGAAGGAGTTCCCTTAGCAACCCATGGACGAGGTCTGATGACCAGCAGGATAAGCATCTTCAGAGTCTCCCAGTCTCGTCACAGAGGGTCTCACTAAAACGGCTGTCTCAAACGTTCCATGCGGCAAACAATCAAAAACCTGATGACCACCGTTGAGCAACAGTCAAGACCATGGCGAGACTCACGCCTGTTCTCCGCAGGTTTTTCCCTGCTCCCTTGATAAGAGGTTCGAAGGGCGTCCCGGCCAGGCAATGGGCGACGGTCTCAATATGAGGCAAACCGTTGGTATGAATGTTGCAGTGGAGGCGCACCTGTAAAGATCATGAGCCGTCCTCAGTCCACGAGACAAGGTCGCCACCGCAGAACAACCGTTCAATCGGCGGTCGCTGGCCTCTCCTGTCGTGGTTATGCCGTATTCCTCCTCAATGGCAGCATATGGTAGTCCGAATGTTCGGACTTGGTCGATGGGGGACGATACGTTGCAACCGTTGGGTGGCACCAACGCTGTAACGAAACCCATGGCTCACTTAAAGCGTCGTCAACTGCTGGTGCGTATCAATCAAAATTCACAAGGCGGCATGTAAAGTTGTACACCGACGAGCAACGACAGCCGCCTCGCTACTGAGTAAGAGTTAGTACTCTCAGGAGCCTCTTGGAGAGGATGAAGTCCCCATGATGTTAACAGGGTGGTATAATAACCTAACTCAACAGCATCGTAGTAAAATGATTATTCAATGGTGTGTGGTAAGACTGGCAAAAGACACTTGAAAAAAATTAAGCTACAACAGTTGCGAACTATCTATGAACTCTTCTGCTCTTTCTGGCGGGTATCTGCAGACCTGCTGAAATCCCGAGCCTTCTTAATCTCATCTCCCAGGGCAGGGAAACCGTTGATTGACAGATCGCCGATGGCATGTGGACCCACGGCACCTGTGAATACAAGTCAAATAAACACCGCCCTCACATCAGGGGCGACTACTTCGTTGATCCCCCTTCGAGACGATCTTCTTACTATGCCCCTCAGCTAGCTGAGCCAAGGTCACCTTGAGGTTACCCGCGAAGCCAGCCTTGGTGAGCTCCGCGAAGTCGCGATGCTTGAATTGTTCGAAAGTGATATTATCCATTCAGCTACAAAAGTAGTAACTACACATGTGCCTGCCCACAGCCCACGAAGATGTCCAGCACGACAACAGGGCGTTTCTAACAGCATCACGTTGAGCTATTATGGAGTTGATGAACATGTGTATTCCTTATGAAGGTTGGAAGTCGAAGTGGGGTAGTCGTGGCATTGAATGGGTTGTTACGGGAGGCGCTCACATACCTGTGCATCATCGAAGGCCCAAAACAGCAGTAGTGGCCTCACTTGCCCACATACTCAGTCACGTCGCATGTACATTTACTATGCCTTCATGTTGCTGGGTTCAAGTTGAACCGTTCAACGTCGTCGTAAGACGGACACTGCAGATGAATAGTCACAGCGAATAACGCCCCATCGCCGACCTTTACGTGGTATGGGAGAGATCTGTGGCTGCCTTAGCGGTCGGCGTGAGCACTACTGTCTGGCCACTGCAGTCCTTCTCTGTGCCGTCCTCAGCTTCAAGACGAGCCCTTCTCTTGAGCTGTTGTGACCTGAGCAGCCGAAGATTTGACTTATCGGTGGAAGGGTATCGAATCGAACAACGAAGGCTCGTCGATCATTCAATGAGGGACACCTGACGCCCATGTGTCAGCTTATATCTTGCTAACTCGGCTTTGGAGAACTCAGCCGCTCAGCAGGTGCTCTGGACCGATGCATGATAACCTGCATCTCGTAGGAGTTCTCGTCACCACCTCAGAGCATACACCCTTACCCGTTGTTGTAACGTTTGTACTCGAATCTTCTCAGTGGCTGTGGTCAGTGGGTCGGGTATGGTTCATTTGGAAGGTGACGCAGGGCCGGCTGTGCCTCGGTAGAGCGACTAGCTTGAAGGGTGAGTGGCGTATCTTTGTGTTGTATCTAACTTCAGTTCTTGCTGGATCACTTCATCCCAAATCTATTCTGTCTTACTCGAGCTTTCTGGTTGTAAAACGATTGGCTTACGTCAAGCATTAATAGGTAAACAGCGAGGAGGGGTTCGGATCATACGTCACTGCGCCACGAAATTCCACATTCGCAAAGTGCGCAGCTCGCAAGCATTCTTCCTTGTCTATCATTCTTTCTCTCAGTTATAAGTAAGTGCATCCTCACATGCATACAGATACCCAAACAACTTTATCCAGTAATGTGTCTCAACTCTGATCAGTGGTATTTAGGAATAACTTTCAACGACATTCTTAACAAATTGAAAAGGTAGTAGTGGGAGACGACCATCTGCCATGGAAGCCCCACTCATCCATGGGAGCGTCTCTGACGTCGTATGCTGGGCGCTATCATCGGATTCATGCATTCACATCATCGCGTTCTCGCGTAAGCGCCATGATAGTTTGTTAACGGGTGTACATGACTGTGACGCCATGAGAGTGATAACGCACTATCACACATCCTGAATCTGTCCGTCTTCAGGTCTCACTCTAGAAGTACAACCAATGCCACGAACCACTCCAAGAGTGATAAACGTAGTAGGGGTTTGATTGCGTTGGGATGAAAGGCTATTATAGGGGATACTTCAATACCATTCGAGGACTTCACACCTTGGTGTCGCGATATCGGCGA